CACACAGGCGCGTTGTCTCACTTGTAACTTAGGGTCTTTCCGAAAGATCGTTCGATTTTGCGATCGGTCAGCAGGTACAGTCATTTTCCTGGCCGTGACGAGCCGCTCCTTGAAAACCGCTCAGACACCGTTACCAACACCAAACGCCCTCGAGGCCGCCGCAACGGCCGCGACCGCGACTACCGCGAGCACCCCGCGAGACGACAAGCCGCGGGTCGCGACGTGAAGGTGAAGGTCATCCGCGGGGCAGGGATGAATCGCAAGCTACCCCATGGCAGGGTAAACTCACGAGGGAGGATATCGCGACAGGGGCAGCGCAGGTCGTGGATGCAGCTCCTATAGGAGCGACTCGTGGTTCGCCACGGCTAGGAAACCGACCGTACTCCCGGACCGATCGCAAACCGACCGACGGCCCCCTAGTAGTTGTGCACTAACTTCAGGTCCCGTCGTGTTTCTAGAACGCAGTGAACGTCCCTCGTGCGCCCCGATGGCAGAGTCTCTGGTCACCATGGAGCAGCTCCCGGACGACGTGCTCGTGGCGGTGATGCAGTTCCTGGACTTGGAGGACGTCCTGGCCTGCCGTCTCGTGTGCAAGAGGCTCTGCGGCCTCGCCTTGCACCGGGACGTCTGGGGCCACCGATCGCTCGCCGACGACCACCCCCGCGCGGGCGCCGTGCTGCTCCTGGCCCCGTGCCTCAAAATGCTGACGGTGACGGGCCGAGTCCCGACCCTGGCGGCGACCTCAACCTGGTGCGCCGTGGCTAGTTTGAGACTGCGGCAGGCGCAGGGCTTCTTCAACACCCCCGCCTTCAACCCCGGGGAGTACGCCTTCATAGTGTACAAGCAGGAATCCCTCGGGCGCCTCAGGAGACTTGAGCTCTGTCACCTGACGTGTAGAATGAACACCGTAGCCGACGTGCTGGTGAGGACGGTCGCGTCGTGCTCCGGTCTGGAGTCGATCGACGTCCTTGGCTATCTACCAGTGACCTCCCACCCCGTTGTACACGGGCCGTCGAGGTCCTCGCTCACGAAGTTCCGCTGCCTTGTCGACGATTACTCGGCGTCCTTCACCAACGCCATCCTGGTCGGGCACGCGGCCACCCTGGAGGAGATCCACATCCTGGCGCACGATGACTTCGAGGAGCCGGCGACGGTCGCCCTGTTTGCTGCCTTGCCAAGACTCTGCAGCTTGCGGTGCAACGACTCGATTCGGTGGTTGGAGGCCATGGCAGCGTGCAGCACGCTCCGAGACGTCTTCATTTGTCTCAACAAAAAGCTCGACCGTCTCGAGAGGGTGGCGAAATTCCTCCGCCAGGCCAGCCAACTGCAGCGAGTCCACCTGGAGAACTGTGCGAAGGGCCTCACCGCCGAGTACTGCACGGAGTTGTGCGAGGCCCTCGCTGCTTCGTCGGAGCAGTCCCAACTGGAGCGGCTGGCCCTCGAGGGCTTCCAGAACGTGCGCCCGCTGCTCGGCGTGCTGCCCTCGCTGCCCGCCCTGCGTCACCTGGACGTGACCAGCGCGACCCCCGACGACGCCCTGCTCAAGAGCATCACCCCCGCCACGGCCCCGGCCCTGAGGCGGCTGGAGCTGGGCGTCGAGAGCGGGCAGTGCCCGCACGCCTGGGTGCACGGGACCGCGGTCGAGGCGACGCTCGTCGAGAACCCCGCGCTGCACATCCTGGTGCGGGTCTGGCGCAGCGGTCGCAGGAGGTGCGGTCCTGACGACTGCGCGGCGTGCGCCGAGGGCTGCCACCGGGAAGTAAAGTGGAACAAGGTGGGCAAGGTGGGCCTCTACTCGCACGGCCCCGACGAGTGCCCCTCTCCGGAGGACCACGCCGACGACGTCGACTGGCAGAAGGCCGATAGACGCGCCGTTACTGTCGCCTGCACGTGGGTACACGTGTGATGGGATTGTGGTTGATTGTGAATGTCTCGTACTATGAATTTTGTTTCATAAGAAATGTGACGAGGGTACTGTTATTTAGTTTCATTTTGTGTGTCAGGTTCATTTGACGATAAATAAATGATCATTGTTTCTGACAAAATGCAAGCTCACTTGTGCCCTTCCTCGACACGCCTCGCTGCAGCCCATAAGACTTGCTCAAAAGCCGCTTATTATCAGCGCCCTCAACCGAATCCCTCCGCATTTCGTGTTCGAAGATTCCAGCTGACCAAAGCGAAGCTGCTGGAAGAATCGGCCGTTTACACGCTTAACTCAGCTGACGCGTGCGAGTGGCAGGGAGGTGGAGGGGGGGGGGCAGCGGCGATAGCACGCCCAATGTATCATCTGTCAAAAAATTGGTGGCATTCAATACGCAGTGCGTAGTCACAGATCAGGCAATTCTTGTGCGAGGTGGGGGTGAGGTTCCAGTTAAGAATTTTGTAGTTTTCACGCTCAGCGCGCGCTCACGCTGGCGTGAGCGCGGAGGGCGAGAGGGGAAGCGGGGGGCGAAGAGGGTTAGCAGTCCTTCCGCCGCTGCCTGTCCCCCCCCCCCCCTCCCCGCCCGCCTCACGCCAGAGGGCGGGGGGGGGGGGCGAGCACCGAGCGAGCGCAGCGCGCATCAGCAAGTAAGCAGATCACACCACACCAGTCTGTCAGTCCACACACTCAGTCCAGTTCGCAGCTCGCAGCGTTTGCTACGGTCCTGCTTGTCCGCTCCAGCCAGCTGGCGATCGAGGAAGCTCATCAACTCATCTTGCATCTACGCGATCTACGCCAAGGTGAGATAGTCGACAGTGCACAAACCTAGGGCGTCGGCCGCAGGCGGCTCTATAGCCACATATTCGGCACCCCAGGACTAAGCAGTGTTCCGCGTGGCTTGAAGAGTTTTGCTTTAACGTGACGCCCCGCGCTGTGTTTCAGGCACGCAGAGTGAACAGCAGAGTGCGTGTGCCTACCTACGATCCCGCCAGTCTGCTCCAGCCAGGACACGCGAGAGGAAGCTCATCCACCCATCTTGCATCTACGTCAAGGTAAGACACTCGACAGTAGTGCATGTAGACAGACAGCCAGCTTGAGATGTCACGTTGA